ATCGGCGGCCGTGATCAAGAATTCGTTTTGTTGCGCTGGCGGGTTTGTGTGGCTTCACAAACTTTGATATTTTGCGATTCGTTCCGCGTAAATTAATAGCCGTTTTTGTGCTTCCGCACGCGCGAGGAAGGCATGGTGAGCCGAGTGCGAAGTGTTCGAGAACAAGTTCTAAACACGAAACGAATCGCAAATTATCAGAGTCGGTGGGGTAGCGTACGCGTGTGCACTAGACGCAGACTATCAGATACAGTCGGTGGCCGACGATGTTGGCAAATGGTCTGGTCACTCCAGGCCGGTGAAGCCAACGACAGTACCAGCGATCAAAAACAGGGTACGTGGCTGACCGGTCTTCGAAAGATCGGTCTTCGAAAGATCGAAGATCGGTTCGAAAACACGGGCCTCATCTGGGGATGCGGGGTGCTCAGAGTAGCCAGGGGACAAAGGACGGAGGGGTGCGTAACAAAAAGCGGTCGGGGAGAGCAGAAACTAGAGGGGCGCGGAGGCAGAATTGGCGTTTAACAATAAGAATGTATGGGCACCTTACCGATGCCTGATCGGTGGTCGAAATTGGTTTCCAGGGAAGTCGGCAGACCGCTGACTCTGTTCGCTGTAACTGATCAGCAGCGCTCGGAGACGTTCGTTGTAAGTGCGATTTTGTGCCATTGAACCAATGTATATTTTGATGGTCACGCCGATATTGTTCGTTTTAAGCGAAAGTTCGTCTTAAGTGAGGCCGTTATATGTGGGCTCGACTGTATTCGAATTTCACTATTGAACGTACCTGCTTTTAGCACCGAAATGTTCTCTAGAAGGCGTTGCTCTTCGCAAAACTGGTCGAGATGCCTAACAACCTTACCGCATTTGGTGACGGTCTAAAGCAAAATGCAAACAAAATATTTTTATTTACCCCTAGCTCAAAACGAAAGTTGTCATAAGAGGTCAATGAGCACTCTTCAGCAACGATGCAATCAATTTGGACCGCTTTTCAGTCAGCTGCAACACTTCAACCATTGGCGGGACCGATGTTAGAGTGGCTAGTATGAAGAGATGTGAAAAGGGGCTGCCGAAACCGGTCCCCGAAGCATGCCGATGCCTCTTGGCGCGCTGCATGAACCGGTGCAAGTAGACTTGCGAAGGCGACATACGAGTGAGCATGCGCTGCTCTTCGCAAAACTCACATCCACACTATCTGGCGGTCACCTGTTATCGGTAAAATCCTTTTGATCGAGTTAGTGTAAGGCAGTACATGGCGCCTAAGCCCTTTAATGTCTCATCTCTGAAAACCGTTCTCAAAAAGGCCTGCCTGTGAGTGTGACTCGATGCCAACTTTCATGGACTTATGATATAGCAGTTATATAGCAGTTATAGCTTAATGATATAGCAGTTAATATATAGCAGGCGGAGCTGCAGGCGTGATAATAGATGTAAATCACTGGACGTATAAAACAGTGATGGTTTATACTGGATGTATAAAACAGTGGCCCAATGTGTATCGGAGAGTTTCATGTGATGGTTTATGTCGTGGCACATGTTAAATCCATTTCTCATTGGCACAGAAAGCAGATGTCTTATCTCTGAAAAGAAGTCATCACTGATCTCTCAACAAATTTACAGTAATTCTGGCAGCTTGCAGATACTAGTGGACAAGTATTGCACCCAGTCACAGTGCGCCGACGCTGGGTCTTTTCTTTTTTTTTGTCATTGACATCTTCAGGCATTTCCGAGAAACCCAACGCAATCACCGATTGAGGAAGTACTTGTAAAGCAGCGACCGCGTGTGCAGATAATAATGGCACACCGGACAATAAACTCTGCGAAGCGTGCCACTCACTACTCGCGCCGTTGCCATCAGCGCCCCTGGTGGCAACGGTGTGCCGAAGGACCCTGCCTGACAAGCAAAACGCCCCGCGCTCATCACACCCTCCCCATTCTAGTCACCCTACCAATGTGCTCTTAGACTGGTATGGCTGAAGGTTGTCAATGTTGCCAGCTGCAATTTAAAAATGACGTTGCATTAGCGTGCAGATATTGGCTGTTGTCAGCACTGCAAAAGTACGCTTTATGCGCTCAGTTTTGAAAAAAAAAAAAAAAACACTAATTTTATTCATTGGAGCCAGCAGTCCGTTGTATCGCAGTTCGTTCAAAAAGGTGAGCTCTGCTGCATTAAAGGAGCAGTGTCAAGAAAAATTTTGCGCATTGTTCTTTTTTTGTTATAATAGTTAGCTTATTATGATCAACTTATCACAGCTGGAAACCTTTTATGTGTGAGTGCACTACAGTTATTTATTTACAGATGCCCTGCCACGGTGGTCTAGTGGCTAAGGCACTCGGCTGCTGACCCGCAGGTCGCGGGATCGAATCCCGGCTGCGGCAGCTTTATTTTCGATGGAGGCGGAAATGTTGTAGGCCTGTGTGCTCAGATTTGGATGCATGTTAAAGAAACCCAGGTGGTCGAAATTTCCGGAGCCTTTCACTACGGCGTCTCTCATAATCATATCGTGGTTTTGGGATGTTGAACCCCACGAATCAATCATATTTATTTAGAGACGTTATTAGAGCACTCAGTCTCAGTTTCGGTATCAAAAAGCACCGAGCGAGGCAGGAGCAGTTCTGGGGGCACGGTAAACACAGCTGGCCACGTCACAGCACAGCTACCACACGCATGGTTGCACGCATGGAGAAGAAAATTAAAGATAGCTCAAGGCCAAGGCGCGTGCTACCAACCAACCAACACAAGCTTGTGACATAGGTTTGTGTACATTGACCCTGAGTTGATATTGGCATCCCTTTGTGCACTTAAAAATTGATTTTATTTATGTTCTAGGCTATATTTGCCCTTGGTATCTCGTAGATGTTGTGCATGTCTCCACATATATCTATCTCGCTCATCATCTCGCCTTCGATATCATTTAAGAGGATAGGGTAAGCAAAAATATCGAGAAAAAGCATTTTTTCTTTTTGTGTTATTTGAAATCAGCAGCTTTTTCTGAACCAGAATCATTGGTTTGTTTGTCTTGGTACGATTATTTTTTTCTAAAAATGACATATTTCAAAACTTGTATGGTGGCTTGCCATGCCCCCGTACTTATGTAGCAAGGGACTCCTTGCAGTTCATGCATGATAGCCATATGGAGACATTCCAGTTTGCAAGCTGGAGTGCATTTGGTACATATCGAAAAGAATGGGCCCAGAACTGCAGAAATGACAGAAAGCAAAGACATCAAGCCTTCTGTCGGGAAATCTACATGTGGTCGAGAACATCCTAGTCGTGTGATCATTGGCAAGCACCATAACTATTATTGTCAGGACATTAAAAGCAATAGAGCCAGCTTGGAGGACATGTGAAAACCTGTTTGGTCCACATATTTTCACACGACATCAAAGGATACCTATCAATTGCATGGCCTTTGCTCAAAGGACACCGAAACTTGGTGTGAATTCAACAAAGCCCAGTTGAATGGTGAACAATTCGTTCTTAAAGAACACCTTCCAGCATCTGTTATTGAGGCTGCTAAACCAAATTATCTGGAACTAGCTCATCCAGAGTAACTTGCTACGTGCCTCCGTGAGAAAACTGAAATCCATAAGAAGTTGTTGGATTGTTGTGTGGGCGCGCGAGCCTAGAAAAACGTTTTTCTCGGGCACCAAACACTGTACATATGCACTCTTGATGCGATGTTCACTATTAATGATGAGCCCGTGTGAATGTGCTGAACTATTTTGGAATTTCGCCAGGGCTCTGCACAGTGCAGGGCTATGCGCTCTTGAATTGCGCCGGCAGTACCATGCTGACACGGCTGCATAGGAGGTGACAAATGAGGCTGGCCAGGCAAGACATTTCAACAGAAAAAGAAAAAAAATTGAGTATCTGGCTGGTGCCTATTGAACGGGTTCGCCAATTTGCTGTTATCTCGTTGTACTTTTGAAATAATGCAGATTTTCAACAAAAATGCAATTAACTCATAACATGCTTTTTTGTACCTATGTTCCTTTTCCTCAGTGACCGCAGTATCTAGAATCATAGATTTCACTCAGTATTTAGGTAATGTAATTGTGAATATGCTGAAGCAGAATTATTGGTGTGTGAGGAAGTGGTGTTCTGCAACTCATCTAATACCTTTTATCGAGTATTAATTAGGTACCTTAATTAAAAATATACACAGAATAGCATTACAATTTCTAGTGACAAATCTGCTTCAGTATAAAGAGGGATGGCTCGTAATCACAATGATAGAAAAATAATTTGTGTAACTTTTATGGTTATGGAGAAAAAGGTAAATAAACTTCGCCTAAAAACATGGCGGGTATAGGGCTTATCTTGTTCCCTTTAGCTAGTAATGCCTGAATTATGAAACTGCCAAATAAAAAAAATGTTTTCATTTTCCAGCTTTAAATAGCAAGCTTAAAATGATTCTACTGTTAAATGATCTAAAATGCACATTTATAGCATAGTTTTATGTATGTCATGAATTCTCCACATGCCAGAATAGTGAGGACCCTACAATGAAAAAAACCGTGCTTCAGTATCATGCAACACGTGCCACGCCTTGAACCCGTACACACAAAATAGACGAAACTATTGAAGATAGAACTTGGCATCAGCTAGGCGAGAAAAAACGAAAAAGTGAGCGCTCTTTCACGCGCTTCGCAATGTCCGCCATTAGCTACAAAGCAATTGGTTCTAGCATAAAATACAATACACAAGATAGTGGTAGATTTTGCGTGCTGAAAGCTACATGCCCCGTGAGTACTTGACAGCCGGCATTAAAGGCGGCACGCATTCCGCGACTTGCTTGCTTGAAGTTTTTCGGTATGCTGTGAATTCGTGACACCTGGCAGTAAAGGGTTAATACACAGATCAAACTTGGGCTGAATAGTGGTCTACTGTATCCGAAAGTCTGTTGTACGTCAGTGAATTATAATGTGTGTAAAATGTATTGATTATAGCCGTTCAGTGAATGGAAACATTTGAGCTGACAAATGCATTCTCTGATTCTCAGGTGGACCGGCTTTCGTTTCCATGTGGCTGCACCCAGGAGGGCTGTGGCAACACATCAGGCCGTACAGAGTTCAACCCAGTGCGAGTGCGTACTCATTTCCTGCACACACTCATGCGACTTGAATTTGAAAAGCAGCTGCCACCGGGCACCCTGGGTCCTTTCCATTGTGTTGACCCCCCCCAGCTCATCTACTACAACGCAGCTGCAGCAGCGAATGGGGCTGGACAGTGCCAGTACAGCTCGGAAGAGGAAGACGAAGATGAAAGCTCTTACTCTGAGAATTCCGAGTACACATCTCAAGAGGAGGACGGCAGTGGTGATGGTGCTGAATTGGCAGCTGATGGCAGGCCAAGCTCTCCGCACCTGGACTACATGGACCTCAGTTGTGCAGTGGCCAGGGGAGGTGGGAGCCCTGCACTGGCATCGCGTGGCATTATCCCCGTGGACCCTGTGTTTGTGGGCTGCGGAGACTGTGCCACTGACGGACTTCTGGTGTCCCCGTTGGAAGGGTCTCAGGTGGCCTCTTCCCCATCGACGACCGAGGAGGGTGAGGGATCTTCATCAACGGCCACTACAGATAGCACGTTTAGCGACATAATTAAGGCGTCGCTGGAGGAGACGGCCACCTTGTGAAAGTCTTGTACATTGTGGATGGGAAGAAAAAAGAAAAGTATACCTTAGGCCTCGAAAAGTCGAACTTGCGTCCATCAGTATCAGTGATAAAACGCTCGGTCATACGTGAAGCCACTTTAACAAAGCAGCTCTGAATAATTTTTTTTTTCTCGTTCAAAAGTGCACATATCATAAGAATTGGTTGAAGCACCAAAGCCAGTTGTCGCTCGCTGCCATAGTCAAGTGTGTGGCTGCTCTGTGATTAGACTGCAACATTACTGCTTCAGTATGTTGTGGCTCAAACTACGTGCAGTTGAAAATGAGCAGCACTCTGTGTGTGCTGCTCATCCTTCTTTTGCCGCCACCAATGCTGTCTTGGTGCATGTGTAAATGGCAGCTACTGCCAATGCTGCGGCTACTAATGGCTGCTGCTATGCACATCTAAGCACAAAGGAGGTGTGCATGGGAGGATGATGCCTGCTTCTGGGATTATGAGGGCACATGTCGTACGGTAATGTGGGTTAAATCAGGGAACCAAAAGCTGTGTGTTTGCTGGTCGTGTTCAGTTGTAAAAATGCTTGAGAAGGCATATGCGTGCGTGTTGGAGCTTACCAATTCGAGCAGAGAAATCACAGGCAACCCATTCAGCCTTCTTGCAGTTGTGTGTCTTCTTTATGTATGACATCACCGAGGTTTAACTGTTGGAATAATGCCTCACATATATGTTGTCAAAGCTTCGTTCAAAAAAACAAACAAAAGATCTTTAAAAGTTTAAGATACATACCCGTGTCAATGTGGCGCTCTATATGGTCATGCTCAACAATGCTTAAATGCCAAGTGTGCCAGTTGGATTATATAGCTTGTGGCATTGTGAAAACTGCGATGTTCTTTAGGGCTCGTTTTTTATTACTGTAAGTGCAATGACAAGTAGCGCACTCTTGTTTAAGGGGGACAAGTAGAGCACTCTTGTTTAAGGGGATACTCTTCAGGGGATTTACAGTTGATGATCGTGCACGAGAAATTCTTTTTGAGCGTTGCTTGTGTGACGTGCATAGCTTTACATGGATAAGTAGTAATCCAGAGAAAGAACAAGTTTGTAGTGGCCACATTCTCTTTTTGCCTTTCTCCTTGTTTTGCCATCTTTTATCGTGTTTTACCTTTTTACTTTGACTTCAAATCGCAAAGCAAGTGATGATTTAATGGTGTGCTTCGTTATATGTAGAGATTTTTCCACTGGTCTTTTTATGTTCTACTTTTTTTATGCAAATTTTGCGATCAGAAAGCTGCTAATGTGATTCATGATGTGCTTTACCACACGTAATGACATCATTACTGGAAAGTTGCCTCGTCTTTAATTTCGTTCTACCTGTTTATCGTGTTTTAGCAACTGTCTTTTTATCTTCTACTTTTTTATGCAAATTTTGCAATCAGAAAGCTGCTGTTGTGATTCATGATGTGCTTTGCTACATGTAATGACATCATTACTGGAAAATTGCCTCGTTTTTTATCTCGTTCTACCTGTTTATTGTGTTTTAGCAACTGTCTTTTTATCTTGTTCTACTTTTTTATGCAAATTTTGCGATCAGAAAGCTGCTGATGTGATTCATGATGTACTTTACCACATGTAATGACATTATTACTGGAAAATTGCCGCGTCTTTTATCTCGTTCTACCTGTTTATCCTGTTTTTGCAATCGCAAAGCAAGTGATGTTTTTGTCGATGGGCTCTGTTACATGTCATGACAATATTACACTGGTGCATCACTACCCATGGGTCAAAAAAGCCTATTAGCTCACAGCAAGTACTATGACTGCAGTGTTTGGCTGTGCAGTGGGGGCCAGTGCTGGTTACCATAACTACTAATTGCAGCACACTGCTGAGATGTGCTCAAGTTTCATTGTGTGTGTCACAGTCGTGAGCTACAATCGGTATCTAAGCATAACTAACTAGCCATCAGCTTTGCTTACCATAATATTATGTATTTGTCAAATGAGTGCTGCCAACTAGGGTCCAATCTGAGTTCTTAAATCTAGAAGCTTCCTTGTTGCTTCTTTTGAAAGACATCCACATTGAAATGTAGCTTTAACGAACATTCAAAGTTAACAATGCAAGGACCGGTTAAAAACGATTGAGGGCAACCTAAAGATGATTCTCTGTGTTGCTGCCGTCACACTATTTTGCCAGGTTCGGCTCTTCAGGGACATCTTGATTCTCACTAAGCGCTGTCAACAAGCAAGGGAGTGCAGGCAAAAAGGTTAAAAAAGGGTTTAGGTCCAACTTGCATGGCAAAGACACTGAAGCAATACAGCAGAAGTTAGATGCATGGAGTGCGCATATGAATGAATCGGTGTATTTTTTTCAAAGAGCGCTACCTCAATAGGGTGTGGTTCTTCACTTGAGCCGAACCGTCCTTCCGGAATGGTTGACAATGTATTTCAGATGTCCATTTACGCCGTGTATAATTTTAGCCTTTTGATACTTGAGGATTTGCCATTCAAAAGAAACAATAGGTCACTTGTGCACGTAAACGAGGTAGTGCATTCTCTTGATGTGGCTTTCCATTCATTACAATTTATTGACATCTATCAGTACCATTTTGTGATATACAGTTACACAAAAGCATATATTAATATATAGATGTCTCATCACTGCTGTTTGGGCTCCTTGTTTTGTGTGCAATAACTGGATGGAGCCCTTCCTTTTGAGGGCACAGTGTCAATTCATTAGTCTTTGTAGCATACCTTGAGTAAAGCGTATATTGGGCGATGCAGGAAAGCCAACTAAAGGATTCCATAGACGCAGAAGCCTAGCCATGTGCATACAGGCGTCAAACTTATTCACTGAAGGTTATGCCATTCAATTTAGCTGGAACACGCTTCTACTCGGGTTTTTATCCTGTTAATTTTTTTCTCAAAAAGTAAAAAAAAATGCCTTTTTTTGCCAGAATTTGCAGCTCGGTAAGCTTTATTGTTAATCAAACTTTATATATATATATATATATATATATATATATATATATATATAGACTAGGCAATTGTTAAAAATTATGAGCCTTAGTGTGTTCTCACAAGGTTTGACTAAAGTAGTAAGGCTTAACCATTTGAAACCCCAAGGTTATAGGGGGGAAGAGTCTGGTTGGCAGCACTCGGTGAATGGCCTATGCTTGCCTACTCTTTTTCATAAAATTATTTTCCATTTTCTTCTGCTGTGTGTTCCATCATCCTGCTGTATTCTGCCATGTGGAAAGCTGTTTTGTGACTTGAGTGGAAAACTGTTGGTACTTTAGCAAGACTGTGATGATGGGGGCCCTTTGTGTTACACTTAGTTACGAGCCTGTGGTTCAGAGCCATTTGATGCTATCTTATGCTGCCTTTTGACCAATACCCTCTTTTACCCACCTTGTGCTCACAAAAGGTCCCAACGTTAGTACGGACATTTGTTTCCTATTCAGCACTCTGTGGTTTTACCCCCCCCCCCCCCATAATGTCTCTGAAGGACTTGGAGATTGATTATTTTCAATATATGTACGAGCTGATTTAGTTCAGTGTCCCAAGTGCAGGGATGCTGCTTTTGTATATTTCATTTCATTAAAAATTACTGAAGAGTTCTGCAGTGAGGTGTTACTGCATAAAACGTATAAAAGTTTGACAATCAAAAAAAAAAAAATTTCTCATTGTGATGCATTTACTCAAGCACTTGGCAGTATTTGTATTCTTTATAGTGCATTGATGTCTCATTGTAATGTGTATGCAGTGCTCGTTCAATGCGCTGTTTCTGTTACATTCCTATAGCGCCACCTAAGCACTATAGTGGGGAAGGTTGACCGCAAACTCTTGGATATGAAATTTTTGCATTTACCTATATAAGAAAGTTGCTGACAGTAACTCGCATATTATAGAGAAATGAAAGGTTATGATTAAGTCAACTCACTATGCAAAACTAAAAAATTTTTTAGCACTCAAACAAAAAGCTGGAAACCTATGATCAAGTGACATGCTGCGCTGTCATGTTGGGTTTGTTGATAGTTTGGAAAAACAGAACCATTCGGGCAGCATAGTGAATGGGGCGGTGAATGCAGGCCCATTAAAGATAAGTGAAATGCCTCATACATTCACTTTAAGGCACCCCACCGCGGTGGTCTAGTGGCTAAGGTACTCGGCTGCTGACCTGCAGGTCGCGGGTTCGAATCCCGGCTGCAGCGGCTGCATTTTCGATGGAGGCGGAAATGTTGTAGGCCCGTGTGCTCAGATTTGGGTGCACGTTAAAGAACCCCAGGCGGTCGAAATTTCCGGAGCCCTCCACTACGGCGTCTGTCATAATCATATGGTGGTTTTGGGACGTTAAACCCCACATATCAAATCATTTCATTGTGATAATATATAGCAGCGGTCTCAAACTCTCTTCACCTAGCGGGCCGCAGTCACGAATCTTATTTGCACAAGGACCGGGACAGTGAAGTGCTTAAAGGGGGCGGATCTGATGTAGTGATCGTTTCTGAAGGGCATGTGACATCAGCATTGGAGGAATACTACATTGATACTGATCACCAGAATGACTCCAATGTGGGTGCTGATTCAGAATATGGAGATGCTCGAGACTATAGTCTGTCTCTGTAGCTTACCCGAGTATCATTTTGCAAAGTTGTTACTCTCAAACATTTTATTCCTCGTGGAGCTGCGGACCGCTTGTTTGAAACCCCTGTTTCAAACAAGACACAGTGAATTTGTGCCGTCGTCGCCGTGCAGTCCTGTGTATGTATGATTTTATATATATATATATATATATATATATATATATATATATATATATATATATATATATATATATATATATATATACTATACACTTTGAGAATAGCGCAGTATAGGAAACAAAACAGTAATTTATTTATTTACTCCTAACAGTTTCGGCTGGTGGACCAGCCTTCTTCAAAGGATCTAAGCGAAATGTTACAAGTTCCCGTAGCTGAGGGCCACCTTTACAGTTTGGACGCCCCCAAAACGAAAAGAAAAAAGATAAAAAGACGAAAAAACTAAACAAATGGGCTAACAAGACAAGTGACAGACAACAAGAAGAAGAAGAAGAAAGGAGCGACCCAGAGCCCCCGAAAGGGGGTGCGCAATGGTAACAAAAGGTAGGTTAGATGGGCCAGGCAACCAAGGAAAAGGGAAAAAGTGAAACATATTCCTGCTTACTTGCATCCCACACATGGATCGAGTTAAAGTTCACGTGTTTCTGTGTTTTGGCAGCTGGGGGCGTTGGGCCACACACACACACACACACACACACACACACAAAAAACATACAACCCACTCGTATGTTTTTTTTTGTGTGTGTGTGTGCTGCCTCCCCCTCCCCGAAACATGTGAACTTTAACTCAATCCATGTGTGGGATGCAAGTAAGCAGCAATATGTTTCACTTTTTCCCTTTTCCTTCGTCGCCTCCTCCGATGTCTTATCTACCTTTGGTTACAATTACGCACCGGCTTCATCGCTCCTTTCTTCTTCTTCTTCTTGTCTGTGGCTTGCCTCCTTAGCCTGTTTGTTTCGTTTTTTCTTCTTTTTATCTTTTTTCTTTTCGTTTTGGGGGTCTCCAAACTGTGAGGGTGGCCCTCGGCTATGGGAACTTGTATCGTTTCGCTTATATCCTCTGAAGAAGGCTGGTCCACCAGCCGAAACTGTTAGGAATAAATAAATAAATAATTGTTTTGTTTCCTACACTGCACTATTCTCGGAAGTTTATAATTGTTATTACGGTGGAGAAGAAACTCTGATCATCTTTTTCATATATATATATATATATAATATATATATATATATATATATATATATAAGGGAAAGAAGTGTATACCTAAGGGCTCGTTTTTTCCGTGTTTTGACACTATATTAATGAGATCTAACAGACAGTTATGCCAAGGAATGTACATGGGAAGTTATTCGAACCAATGGAATGTAAATAAGAAGAAAGAAAAGTGGATGAAAAAATAACTAACCATGAGCATATATATATATATATATATATATATATATACACACACACACACATATAAGGAAAAGAAGTGTATACTTAAGGGCTTGTTTTTCTGTGTTTTGACACAACAATAATCAGATCTAACAATAATGCCAAGGAATGTATAGGGGAAGTTATTAGACCTAATTGTAATGTAAATGTGTATAAAGTGGGTGAAAAGATAACGTGCCGTGAGCAGGAACCGAACCTGCGACCTTTGAATAACGCATTCGATGCTCTACCACTGAGCTACCGCAGCGGCTATCCCCCCAGCCACTTTGTTGGGTTTATATGTGAATTTGAACGTGGGAGTGTCAGTGTATATATATATATATATATATATATATATATATATATATATAGAATTTGGTCTAATAACTTCTCCTATACTTTTCTTGGCATTGTTTTCTATTAGATATCATTAATATTGTATCAAAAACAGAAAAACGAGCCTTTAAGTGTACACTTTTTTACCTACTTCATTAACGAGGGTCTCGTACTGGCAGTCTTGGCACCTTTAGGTTGTATATGAGGGACTATGGGTCAGCTGCCAGCTCGTGATAAGTTCACGTGCTACAGGACGCCAAACAGGCTCAAAAGAGTGTGCCATACTCGCCGCCATGGCTACTGGTGGCGCTGACTGACACTCCCACGTTTAAATTCACATATATACCCAATAGTGTGGTTAAGGCGATAGATGTCGTGGTAGCTCAGTGGCAAAGCATCGAACGCATTATTCGAAGGTCGCAGGTTTGGTTCCTGCCCACGGCAAGTTATCTTTTCACCCACATTTCTTTTTTCTCATTTGCATTACAATTCGGTGTAATAGTCTAATAACTCCCCCTATACTTTCCTTGGCATTATTGTCTGTTAGAAATCATATATATATATATATATATATATATATATATATATATATATATATATATAGAGAGAGAGAGAGAGAGAGAGAGAGAGAGAGAAAGAAAGACCGCAAGGAAAAGTAATTCAGAAGAAATTTTTCCTGAAGCGCGCGACCTGGGATCCGCACCTGCGACTAGAGTTGCCACTACACCACTAAAATAAAAAGGGGCTCTTCGGAGTATCCAGGGTACAGTAAGCCGAGCTAGTTTGTTATGCATTGTAAAATAGCGCAAAAACACACTTACACAATGACAAGACGACATGAGCGCTAACTTTCAAGTTAGCCACCACCGACCACCAAGCATTCAATGTAAAAAGCTTCAGTTACTGCTCTACCCGTTTGATCACCGTTTGATAACTGTAGCGTCATAAAAAAAAAAAATGTTTTGCCGCAAGTGAGAAGCAATGAATGCGATAGCATACCTGCCAACTGTTTCTTATACCGGTGTCACACAGGCACATTTAATCTCGATCAGAGCAATCAGGATCGGCCACTGCTACATGGCCTGTGTTAATCCAGTTCGAGCTTGGGTCAGAATAAATGCACCAGATATTGGTGGCATGCCGTAAAACATAACATTTACATACCTCGGCGCGCCCCCGCCGCGGTGAGAGTGAGTGAGATTGACTTTATTAAACATATCATGAGAAGGCTGAGAAGGAGCCATTCCGACCCTTAATTCAGCCTGGAGGCTCCGCACAAGATGGCGCTGGCAGCCGAAGGCTTTTAGTGATGTCCCGGGCCCTCTGGACCGCCTGTAGTTGCTGCTTGTATTTGTTGCTCTTGAGGGCTTCCTGCCAAGCCTCTTGGGTGTTTAGTTATGCTGCGCTGTGGGTAGGGCACAGCCAAAGCATGTGTTCAAAATTGCAATAGGGATGGCTGCAAAGAAAGCATGTGGGTGGTGTATCGGGGTCGACACTGTGTAAGGTGGATGGTGTTATGTACGTACATGTTTGCAATCTTCTTAGAGTTAGAGCTTGTGCTTTGTTAAGTTTTGGGTGCAGTGCTGGGAAGGCACGTCTTCGTCCCTGGTAATGTGAAGTGATCTCGTGGTATGTGACGGCTTTGTCCTGGCTGCAGAGATTCTCGTACCGCCCAGTTCTCCAGGGGTCGTTCTCCGCGGCGCGGAGGTGTGAGCTCACGCGCCAGGCGGTTGACCTCTTTGTTGAGATTGCAGAGGTCAAGTCCCAGTAACTGTCCTATGTGGGCTGGGAACCAGGATACATGGATTTGAGCTTTCTCTTTTCAATAAGGGTTTCTTTGCTATCGTACTCTCTTACTTCGTTGACTGTGAGTTTTCTAGTGCTTCTGGCTACTAGGCCAGCCGCGAACGTTCGTGCCACAGCGGTGGTGTAGTGGCTAAGGTACTCGGCTGCTGACTCGCAGGTCGTGGGACCGAATCCTGGCTGTGACGGCTGCATTTTAGATGGAGGCGAAAATGCTGTAGGCCCATGTGCTCAGACTTAGGTGCACGTTAAAGAATCCCAGGTGGTCGAAATTTCGGGAGCCCTCCACTATGGCGTCTCTCATGCTCGTATTTATATGGTGGTTTCGGGACGTTAACCCCACATATCAAATCAAATCATCGACGTAACTCAGCGTACAATATCTCTATAGAGTCCTTTATAGAACCGTTCAAATGTGAAAAACTCTGTGTCACTACAAAATCAATTTCATAAATTCATCATTTGATAGAGG